CGTGAACAGTAAATAATAAGACGGTATATAGCGGTATTTTGTTCTTTGGATCAAGTTGTTGATATTTTATATATTATGTTTAGCTTCATGATAAATTTAAGTGGCACAGGTGGAAGATATTCTTGTACTGTATACAGTATTCAAGGTGCTGTACCATAAAAAGACCAATTAATGAATAATCATGCTGGTTAGCAGTGTATCACTTTGATTAAACCCGAATATGACAAGTTTAAGAAACTTTGAAGAATGACATAGATATTAAGATAATTAATTAAAAAAAAGAAAACAAACATTTATCAAGTTCAAAAGTCAATAAAATGATATAGATTTGTAACACAGCAAGCAATTTTGTGTAATGGAGATGTAGGCATCCTCTGTAGATGCCACCATGATTTCCATGTAACTATCTGAAAAATCGTAAAATCTGTAGATTAGTCAGTGTTAAAACATGGCGAACAATTTGTGTGAAAATATTAATTTAACGTAAGGATAGATTGCATTTGCTCAGATGGTTATTGAATTAACGAAAGAATTTGTATAATGTTGATTTGAAAAGAGACTTGATATCTTTTTATCATTAACGTATTCAGGTATTTGTCGATATATTGTTTTGTTTACGAGATTTTAAGTCCGTAAGAGCAGGCGATAATAGCCTAATGATATATAAATGAGGAATGATGACGATAAAAAAATGAAACCATCACGTGTATTGGTAAGTTAGTTTTATTGTTATGTAACTCTTAAGTACGGAAGCCCTGGAGGGACATTGACTTACTTGTTATGACTTATATGTTATAACTTTTTTGTTTTGACTTATTTGTTTTGAATGTTTCGTAGCTAGTTATAACTAAGTGTAAGAAAGCTATTGAAAACCTGTTGCTTGGCTTACTTTTATGATAAAAATGATATTTAGTCCTATTTTAACTGTGGTTTTTGATTAACAAATTGTAGTTTAACTTCCAGTACAGTTTTGATTTCTAAAGTAAATACCAGGGTATTATTTTTGTTGTTTTAACTTAATTCTTATTTTCTAAAAGTTATTACGTAATTCTTATATGTAACTTCCAGTTTGCACGATGATTGACAAACTGACAGTCACTACTATTTTATCTTGTCGTTAGTGATAAATTCAAGGCCTTTTTTCTCTTTTTTCTGAAACTATACATTGCCTCCATCTTTCAAGCCACTTTTTGTTAACTAAACTTGTCATAACAAATTCTAAATAACAAGAATTCAAAGTTAAGTCATAAGAACTAAGTCAAAACACATAAGAAATAAGTCAGAACACATAAGAAATAAGTCAATATCCCTCAAGGACGTCCGTAATTAACAGATAAAAATTTAGTAATCACATCAGTTTTGTACGTTTAACTTCAAAACTACAATTAATCGTTCTCAATAGCTTACCTACACTTAGTTAGAACTAACAAAAAAAATCTCAAAACTAAGTCAAACAAAAAAGTTATAACAAATAAGTCATAACAAGTTAAGTAAGTTAATGTCCCTCCAGGGCTTCCGTACTTAAGGTTTCGTCAAGGTTACATGTCTAAAAAAATATTTTTACAATAGCTTCAAAACAATATGTGGATAAAGTCAAAACGTTTACAGTTTATAAATTAATCATTGATTAATAGATAGAAAGTATCACTTGATGACAAATATTTTTAAAAAGATATTTTTTGAGAAAAATTGTATCAGAAAATGTGCATATTTAAGGAAAAATGCAACTGCTTAATTCTGTCCTTTTTGCGAAAACCAACATTGTAGAAATGATATATGTTTATCATTGAGGCAAGTTGGATGTAAATTGTCTCTGAAAAGCTGTTATTGAAAGCATGACATGTATAAAAGACAATAGAATTCCTAGAATCCGCCATTTGCATTGTACTTTCACTCTCAAGTCGTAACATTTGGACAAAATAAACAGGAAAAACAACTTTCCAGAGGCTATCCAAGTCCAACTTGCTCTTCATTGATAAACATATTTTGTTTCTGCAATGATGGTTTTCATTAAGAGCACGGAATTAATTAGGTATATTTTTTGAAAATATATGCATTTTTAAGAAGAATTTTTCTCAATTAATATTATTCCAAGTATTTTTTTAATCAAGTTATACTTTCTATCTGTTAATCAATGAAAAATTTATAAACTGTAAAAGTTTTAACTTTATAGCTCACATAGTTTTGGGGCTATTGTAAAAATAATTTTTTGGACACGTTGACCTTTGACGAAACATTAACGTCTTTTTGTAATCAAAGTACTGAAAGTACTGAAAAGCGGTTAGCATGCTTTCATCTAATATGTACCGAAAAAAGTGCATGAAATGATATTTAAGTATGCATATCTTTGTCCAATGTTATCAGAGAAAAAATAACAGGCATTCTGTTTTTGTAATACTTTACTTAATAGTAAAACCAATAACATTCCAAACTGATGTCACAGATGGATGCAATCTAATTAAAATTAGATGTTCCGAATCCGCTACTGCTTCTCAAACATCTAACAACATCATATTTGGGGTCATGTAAGAGTGAATCTTCGATTAGCCAAAGAAAACGGTTCCTCCGAAATCTTGGCTTATAGTTCAGATGGGTTTCTTGTTTTCACCACCGAACCAAAACACCCGAGCAGTTTTGTAGTAAACAAAATATGCATTGCATAAGCTGTGTTATGTATGACGTGTGGGTATCTTGTATAGTTTGTGCTCTTTCGTTTGCATTATTCACGTGCAGATGCCAGACTGCAGACTATACATGAAATTGATTCCAAAATTACTTTAATTCAACGTAAGACAGTATCAATAATGATGATATGTAGCCGTGGAATTAATTTGAGAATTGTTTACCGAGGCTTGAATCTACATGGCCAAAGTTTTTGTGTTTACTAGTACATGTATTCATAATCGAAAGGTCGCTCTGATGTGACCCCGAATGGGATGTTAGATGTTTGAGAAGCAGTAGCGGATTTGGAACATTTAAATAAATTTTAATTAGATTGAAATGCATGTTTCAAAATTTAAACATGAGATTTCTTCAGTTTGAAAGACAGCAAGTGCATTTTTAAAAGTTCTCTCTTGGTGGCATCCTATCGTTCTCTGGATGAAAACAATTATGTTGATGTTGAAAATTTAATTGTCTTTCATGCTCTATTGAATCTGAAGTTAGGTAATTGTAAAGCCTAATAGAGCAAACAACTAAAAAAATGACAAATTAAATTCTTTAGAATAATGGATTTGGAGTAGTGTAGATCTACAGCTGGCTATTCAGAGAAAAAAGGATGACTGAGCAGAGACTTTGTAAATGAATTGATATCAAAGAGCTCCAGTTGTGTAGGCTCATCGGGGTATAACCTGTCAACGAGGGATGCTCTACTTCTTCTAGGCAACGGATCCCACCTCTTGAACTTTCAGGAGTCAGCTTTTCTACTTAAATCGATCACTGATCATTCTGTATTTTTATACAGATACTGAATACTTCCGTTTAGTAATATTATGAACTACTACTTGTACGGGAAGACTGGCGAGTAAACAAGATTATCAAGCTTTATGAAATGTACTTTATTGACTTTTCAAACAAGTAAATGTTCGAATAAAGTAAATGGTTTATGAGAATCATTTAAAGAAGTCTTGCACAATATGTCTAGATAAGGACATAATGTGTATTTGCCATATACTCTTCATGCAATATTGCTCTCAAATAAAACATGTGAAAAGGAAAGTAGTCTAATCAAAAAATACTAGTATCTAAAAATTCAAATGTACACTTAAAGTCAGTGTAACTTAAGAAGTTATCAGTGTCACTTTCTTCAATATGTCGGTTAAACAATATACACTGATTTCTTTTCTATCAATGTGCCTCTAAACACCTGTATCTTAATTTAATTCTTCTCAAACGCTCAAAATAATGATCGACAAACTGGACAAATTCAAATTTAAAAAGTATTTTCACAGCTGATAATACGTTCCCTAGGAATTGATCAAATTTTCAAAACTTATAAATAAACATTTTTAATCAAGCATACAGAATTACCGAAAAATAAGACAAAAGAGAAAGACTGTATTATTTGTCCGGAATTACCCCGTGTCCAGAATTCGACGGATCTCCTCTAAAGTATAAATTTTAAATTTTTGCTAATTGCCAAGATTTTTCATACCTCATTCTTCTGTGAATGATAATATCGGTTGATTTTTAGAAGAGGGTCACAATGCCGATTAAAATTAATATATATTTATCCATTTTTTTTTTCAAAATTAATTTTACTACTTTGCCCCATTATTTTTTTCAAAACTAAAAGTAAGTGATCCCTTATGATCGTTTGTACATGTAATAAATTATCAAAGACGGAGCAGAGAATTTACCCCTGGGAGCTGAGCTTTTAAAACTGTTTATTAGACAGAGAAGAAAACAAACGTTTCATTGTGGAGGCAATCCTATTGTTTCCAGAAAAACGTTACAAAAAGTGTAAAACTTGCAGATGTATTCGGTGTTTTTATAAAAACTTTTTTCAGGTATGACTTGACTTAATAAATGGTGTTTCTTAATACTTTGGCAAGGAAAATCAAACTCGATCGAGAGATTTGCTGATGTTTTTGCAGTCTGTAATAACCTTCAACCTGCTGTATAATTAACCGTATTGTTCAACTTTCAAAAATAAACTAACAGTTGCTATAAATCGAGATCGCACTATGTACATGTAATAAGGACGAAATTCTCAGTTCTTTGAAGTTAGTGTTCTAAGTATTGTCAATGCTTTGTTAAATACTAATAAGAATTCGATATAATCGTTGTAATAGCCACTCTTCGTACACAGCATATTGTCAATCTTCCACCAGGTGGCGTATTACGCCAACAGTATACAAATCATAGGAAGCGCTTTGCTGAAGTTACCGTTGTCGATAGGTAGCGCCTTGTGGAAGTTTCCGGTTTTGGTTGCAGAAGGATAAGGTTACGTGCGATAAAGCGATGTCGATAGGTAGCGCCTTATGGAAGTTTCATTAAGACTGAAGTAATTCAAAACATATCTGTTTTTAAAAAAGAGAAACATTCTGTAGGGATTTATCTACACTCATCCATAATGGTAAAGAATTTATAAAGTGTAGTTGTGCTTGTGAAAATTGACTCTTTGAGATATTAATAGAATTTATAACAAGAATTAAACACCGCTTGACACAGACCATCAAACAAACCCTATATTTTAAAAGGAGTATGATTTTCATATAGATACTTATTTGTTTATCTACAAAATATACAATGGTACAAAGACATTTCAGATTTGAACCATATCTTTTTTCATTTAGGAAATCTGAAATGAAAAAAACTGGTGGAGGGCCATCTCCTCCAGAACTTAAGACGTGGGAGGAAAAGGTGAGTCATGAATTGCAATAAATATACTTAAAAATCCAATGCAATGTATGAATCTATTTACAAAAAAAAAAAAATTAATTGTATAATTTATGTGTACATTAAGCATGTTATAAAAGAATGTCTAAGGAATTGTTTTAATGCTATCCAAATGCTCTACACAAAATTAATATTTTGCAGATAGTTGCTGTGCTGTCTAATGACGTCATATCTGGCGTGGAAGGTGGATTTGAATCCCCCAGTGTGATGTCATCCATGGATAGTAAGCATATAATATGTACAGTAAAACAGGCTTATAACCACATGCCAGAGACAGATGATTTTGCTACATAATAAGCATGATTCATTTATCCTTATATTTATGATTTGTTTAAGACTAGTGGGGGATGAAAATTACTTGATAGAGTGCACAATTTGGGGAAAACTAAGATGGAACAAAGGGGCTCACTTCTCAAAAAGTCTTTATGCATAAAAAATGAAGGGAATAGAGAATGTTGATGTAATAGTCTTTGTTTATATACATATATTTTTAGTTTTATCCCATGTTTAACCCTTTATCCTGTTGATATAGCTCATGTAATATCGTTTTCGTATCACACTATTGTGACTTTACAATGGGTTTTGCCTTAGAGTGATGAAGTAAAATAAAGTGGAGTCCGATATAAAAACAGTGTCAAAAATTGTCTGTGGTGTAAAACAGTGTTAAACATTGTTTGTGGTGTAAAAAAAAAACATGAGATAAAAAGAATCTAACATGATTTTTAGCTAGATATGATTTTTATCCAACTCGGGGATAAGAACCACACAACTCATTGGATAAAAATCATATCCAGCTACAAGTCATGTAAGATTCTACATATATTTGCCCAAAACATGAATAAATATGATTTTTTTTAATAAATTAATTTTTCTCTAATTTATTCCAGATTGCATGCCAGGATGTTCTAAAAAGAGGAAATTTGGTATGATTGGAATTCATTTTTTACAAAAATTATGATTTGAATATACAAACATTATCACATTTCATATACATATATCTCTATCTTGGGCTTTTAAAACGAGAATTACCTCATTGTCTCTCACATTTTCATATTTAAAAGAAATGGACTAAACACTAAATAAATTTTGAAGGCACACACCATTTTAATCACATCATATGAGCATTGGGTACTGTCAAGTTTCTTCTGAATATAATACTTTGCTTTGACATTTATTTACATACAACAAAATATTTTGTAGATGAGCCACTTGAGGGATGTGATGCACCATCAATTGGTTAGTTATATTAAATGACGTGAAAATTAAATTTCTATACCATGTACATTAATTTAAATTATAAAGTTTGGGATAAGATAGTCCCTGTGGACCTCCTAAAACTTCACTGTTAGAGGTTTAGAACAACAATAATACTGCAGCATAGTTTTTTTATATAAATGAATTATGGTGTTTAATGAAACTTGCAACATTTCTTTAGCGATTATATTTATATGTTTTTTTTTTATTATTAACAGTCATAAACAAGCCACTTCCAACTGTAGCTGAAGATGTATCAGAAGTTATGTCCACATCTTCCTATGGTAAGTTTATTTGAAATTCAAGCCTCACTCTGAGAGTATGTTGATTTTGAAAAATACTACTATTCATAGGATATCCCATAGCTGGTGATTTGATATGATTTTTTAACAAGTTGTATACAATTATTTCTTAGTCTTGGGTTGTGGAAGATCATTTTGAGTCACCAACCACGGGCGATTTTTATACCCCCATTCCGAAAGGAGGGGGATATATTGTTTTACCTTTGTTTGCCTGTCTGTTAAAATTTTTTTGACACATATTTCTCAGCAACTACCATACATGTTAACCTATTGTGATGAAAAATAGGGAGATTCAGACCTAAAAAGCGGTAGCATTGCGCGTGCTTTGTTTTACGCTCGGGATACCGACATATTTCATGTAATATATACATGTATGTAACCTTAAATGAAACCTACAATAATTAATCTTAAATATCAACTGCAAAAAAGACAAAAACAGCTTTTGACATAAATTTTACAAATTCAAATATTTTTCATGCTCATCATTTTGCTTGGATTGGCTGTTTAACTTAGCCTTTTGAAGAGTGATCTTTGCCAATATAACCTAGAAGCAATAATTCTGAATGTTCATTCAGTTGTTAAACAAAACAAATGATGACATGGTTTAAACTTTATCTAAAACAAGTTCCTATCTTTCGTTATATAAATCAGATTTCCCGCGATGATCGAAAACGAAAGTAGAAATCATGTGCCACATGGCTTGGTCAATCGAGTGATTTCTATTGACTTTATTGATAAAATTATGAGCTCCTATGCTTTTATAGACGATGCCAAACGTTTTCATCTAATTATTAAAAGCTGTATCTCCTTTTTCATGGCAGTGATGTTGACTAAATTTATCGTAACCAATGTAATCACTGGTAATCTTGTGCTGTTGTCGTTGTCAAATTCGTGCTTGAAATCTATGTACACATTGGTACTAAAAAAGCGTTTGTATGCTTCCGAGTCAAATCACGCGATATCTAACGAGATTTTATGAGAGTGACTTCAAAATGGATACCCAAGCGAACCAAAAATACTTTAGACGCAATTTTTGTAGAAAAGCGGTAGATTTCTGAATTAAATCGGTAGGCGGGAGATGGAGTGAAAAAGCGGTAGACTCCCGCCTAAATCGGTAGAGTTAACATGTATGGCAACTACTCATTGCAGATGCTTGAAATTTTAGCACACTCATTGTTGAGGCAATATCCCATATGGTGGGAATCATTTATGTATGAACCTAATGTCAACTTCCTGTTTATCAGTGCATCTGAATTTGTGTATTTAAACATTAAAATGCTTTAGTTAAGTTGTTAGTAAGGGAATGAATGAAGCAGCTGTTGCAGAAAAAATACATTGCAGGTAATGTGTTTTTTTTTTCTGCAATAGATGTGACATTCATTCATGTACTACATGTAGCAACCAAAGAAAGACATTTTGTTGTATATATGTACCGTATTAGTGGAAATTTTAGCGAGACGCAAATTTAGCAATTTGTCCTTAAAAACTGGTAATTTATTTTTAGCGAGGTGTAATTTTAGCGATTTTAAAATGCACATTAAATAAGCTATTACAAATAAAACGCAATTAATTTTTAGCGATATTCAATTTTAGCGATCTCGGCATCCTCGCTAATAATGCCAAAATTAGATCCTCGCTAAAAATTCTACTTATACCGTATACGGTATTATATCTGTTTAAATAATCATTTAAAGGAAGATAAAAAGAAGATT